GTAAGCATTGATATTAATAATGAAAATGCAACATGTGATGCATTGGAAAAATATTTTGGATCTATACTTTGGCAAATATTGGGGCCTCAAATATGCCATTTCTGCGACCATTTTAAGGGTGGATCAAATTGTTATGGAAAAACAAGCTGGCGGTTCTAAACCGAGGAAGCCTCAGGGCAGTGATGATGAATCCTAATTTTCCAATCACATTTTACCTTTTTTCCTAGCATTATCACCAGCACCATCCCTTCACTCTTACTGTTCGATTAATTAGTTTTCTATTCAACTTAATGAACCTGGTTTCATATATTAACAAAAAAATCGAAGTTCGAGTAGAGCCATTAGTTACTTCAAAATCAGATTGCTGGAAACCGAATATTTTCAGAACCTTGTCAATAATAAACTTTTGTATGTGGTCGAATAATTCTATTGTTATCCATAAAAACAGAAAAAGCTTTCATTTTGAGATCCTTCATTTAGAGATGAGCATGTTTTCAGATTAACTTATAGTGCATGCATACAGTCCTCAGAAAAATGCAATTCTTTAATAACAATTTACCTTCAAATTTATCTCTTTCATGATGAATAATATCAATACAATGAAGTCGCCCCGGAGCGCCAATTAATTTTTACTGTTTTCATTTTTAACGTTGTTTTAATAACATTTTCATTAATAAAAATACATATTTATACCAAACTCAATGTCTTCACAATTTGTTTCATTCGAGAAAAATCAGGAAAATCCTTAAGGCGTTCTTAGAGCGGTGCTTGTGCGAAAATAGTGATTCACATTGAATTTGAAGATTAAATCCATTTGGAAAACGTTCTCAGGAACTTTATTTCACATAAACGCCGTTCTTCAAATGAAAGAGTTCTCAAACAGTGAAGTTCGTGGTGAACTGTGGTTTCGCTGAATTTATGAAATTCAACATGAAACAATGTCAACCACCTTCAAACAGGACCTCAACATTTGCCAGCTCGCAGTCCTGATATGAATCCTCTAGATTTTTATTCATGGGGCATCTGAAGTCGCTTGTTTTTTATGAAACTTACCACTACTAGATGTGAATGCTTTGAACTGAATAATTCTTCGACAGCTTTTGATAATTTCTCTTCCATATTCTTTGTTTCACCATCACTGTCGTCATTAAAATCAATAATTAATTAATTTCCACCATAAACATGGAAGTGTCCAATCTCCATATAGTCCTTTTCAACTAAAATTACTTTTTTAATCCTTTCCTGCAAGTCTTCTGCGGTAATATTAGATAATTTTTCTTCAACTAGCTCTATTACCTTCTTATCAAATTTTGGAAAATTATTTTTACGCCTGATGCTTTGTTTCAATTTTCCTCATATCAACTCGATGGGATTGAAAACACAAAAATTGAGGGGAAGGCTCATATGGTGTGTCTATACATTTCAGTAATACTCTCAAGGGCATACACTTTTTCAAATGTTTTATGTGTAAAACTTCAAGTAGTTGGTTTTTAGTATATTTATCTTCGAAATATAAATTGCTATCCTTTAAAAAACTTTGTATTTCATCTTCCCTCGAATTTTTATTCGGTACTTTGATAAGCGAATAATAGAAAGCGTTGTCGAGAACTATTACACTATTCGCATCCAAATTTGGGATTCTTATGATAGTCAACATTAATAATGAAATAATAATAAGAGCATTTATTAATATAGGAATCCTAAAATACATAATACTGTTATAACAATCACATTTTGAAAATACAAGCAAAAGTATAACAAGAATAATAAAAATAAATAAAATCAGAGGATGGAGTGTACAACTCCCGATAGACCAATTAACTGAAATGCTGATATAAATGTGGAAGATATGTTAAACTCAAACATATTTTTCTTTCAGATATTTAGTTAGACAGTTTTTAAAAATTAAAATGGAGTCACTACATTTAATATCATTGGGAAGTTTTTTGTAGTCCAAGAGACCCTTGTGGAAAAGAGAATTCATTGTCATGGTATATTTTGTTCGGGTAACATATAAGTTCTTATTACCTCGAGTAGGGTAATCATGGATTTCATTTTGATAAGTTATGAACTGGTTGAAATAGGTAGGAAATTTTCCAGTTATAATTTTGAAAATAAATATTATGGAAAAATAGGAAAGCCTGTCTTTTACAGATAGCCAACAGAGAACCTGAAGCATGGTCATTATAGGAGTGTATCTATTACATTTTAGGAGTATACGCATACATCTTTTTTGTAGTTTTTGCAAAGAGGATATAGAGTTTGCATCAAAAAGGTTGAGAAGTGTTGGACAGTAATCAAAATGAGGTCGAATTATCGTATTATAGACTGTTAGTGATGTTTCAAATGTCAACGTGTTACCAATTCTTGTAAAGAAGAATATTTTTTTAATAATTTTGTTATGAATGTAATTGAAATGTTTTTTTAGGCTCAGAGTGTTGTCTATCATTTGAATTCCTCAACCAATTCAATTGTTCCACTATATATTTTTATGTTTATGGATTTTTTGTCGATTAAATTATATTTATATTGAGTGGTTATGATCATTGATTTGGTTTTGTTTATATTGAGTTTCATTTTATTGATATTGAGGAATTCGGATATTCTGATAAGCATATTATTAATTTTTTGACAGCATTCGTTAAGCTGATATCGCTTGCTGTCAGCAAAGTGTCATCTGCAAAGAGGTTTATAAATTCATAGTCTTGAATATGATTGATGTCATTTAGATATAAAATAAACAGTAATGGACCTAATACACTACATTGTGGAACACCGGTATTGATGACTTTTTTTGTTGAAATGTAGTTGTTTACTTTAGTACACTGTGACCTCTCTTGTAAATAACTAGAGAACCAATTGAAAACGTTGCCAGTCAAACCATAGTACTGTAGTTTCCTAAGTAGAATTGAAATATCTATAGTCTTGAAAGCTCGTCTAAAATCGAGGAACACTGCTACAATGTACCTATTTGCATCCATACCAATTTTCCATTTGGATAGTGTTACTTGAAGAGCAGTTTCAGAGAAATGACCAGCTCTAAACCCTGATTGGTATTCCATTAAAAGTTTATTTGTATTGATGTAGTCAAGAATTTGATCGTACACAGCTAATTCAAGTACTTTTTCCAAGCTTGATAATGTATTGATAGGTCGGAAATTGATAGCCTCGTTTGTATTTATTATTTTGGGAACTGGTACAACTGTACTTGTTTTAAGCTGATGAGGAAAAACACCAGTAGTAAGTGACGTATTGATAAAGTTCAAGATTATCGGACCAATCACATGAAAGATACTTTTCAGCACTTCAGAATATCTGAATTGCACTTGCTGTCTGAACTATTTACTGAAATTTTTAGCTCATTTAAGGTTAAAGGATCAAAAACTACCAGAGTGCATTCAATTATTGGAAGGTTATGGTTTGACCAAGGATGGGCTAAAGGAATACTATTTTTAATTGATACTATACTATCAATGAAAAAAGAATTGAACATTTCAGCCTTGTCGTAATCTAAATTAGCTGTTGGTGTTTCAAAAATTATTTGGGTAGGTAAAGGTGCATTATTGCAGTCCTCAAGTTTTTTTCCACGTAATTTCAAAGAACCCATCCTTCACTTCCTCCACGATACACAATGATTAGTCGCGATCCTTCGTTTGCAGGCATGTTAGGCGTACACATTCTCGATCCATCTGTCCACCCCTTCGTAACTGAGTCGTGTCATACCAAATTTCGTCCAAACAGAACATTTGCCGTTGTTTTTGTCTATACTTAGTTATTTGTTCTAATGAGTATTTGTTACGCAATTCCACTATTCTTCTGCTTTCCATGACTGCTTGCCGTTTGTTTATTATTTCAAATCTAAATCCCAATTTCTTCATCCAATTCTGCAGATTTTTGTCACAGCAGCTCAGGTTATGGCCGGAAGTATTCAATTTCTTCCTTATGATTTCAGTTGTAGGAATGTCATTGCTTTTGCAACAGTCGTATATTGTTTTTTCAATGATTTTATTAGATGAACATCCAAAAGTTTTGGTAATCACATCGCATCTTGCGTTCATAAGGTTTGTTTTTGACTATTTTACGTACAGTTGAGAAAGGAATTTCGGTCAAATCTGATGTTGCTTGTAATTGTTTGTTCCCTTCGAAACCCAACTTTAGATGTAGATTCTTATATACATTGAAACATACTCTTTGTGTTTCAATATTCAAATGCAACCGAATCTTATTCACCGGTATCTCTTTTTCGCATTGTTCACCACACATAAAAAAGTCTGCGTTGTTATTACATTTGTTATTACTATTAATGCTTATCCAAGGACGCTAAATTTTAAACAGATAACAAAAATTTTAAGTAATTATAACTGAACCAATATTGAATTTCAACACTCAAATCGCGATTAGTTCCTGAACTGAACACGACGGCGATAATCTTCCCTGATTTCTATTCGTCACCGTAACATGACTTCAATCAATACGAACCGCCAATTTTTCAGTCCACGTGGACTAGTTGGCAGCGGCTTCATTTCCCTGTATTGATTTTTTTGGCCTTTAAGAGCGCTGACACCTTCGAGTATGCATAATACCGATTACTTCGACTATACAAACAATTTCTCTGATGCATTTACTTTCGAAATTTCAGGGTGCGTTAATGTTTCTTGTGGCCTTAGCACGGTGTTCAGACATTCGGAATTCTCCAGAAATGATTAAAATGCACACCTGGTGTTGGAAACTGGCTGGTGGTGAGATCTATAGAAAACTTTCATCGGAGGGAAGACATTTGAAGTTGATTTGTTACGTAATTTTCTGCCTGACCACAACCTCATCAATACTCGTAACTGTACCAGCTTTCGGAGACGAAAATGAATGGGAATTTGTACCGTTTGTATGGAATAAATATTTTGATGACCGAATGTTCATCATACCTTTGATTCTCATTGCATTGATAGCTGCCTTCCAAGGAATATTTCTTTCGTCATTGATATGTTACAGCTTGTATTGCATTGGACATGCGTGGGTCCAGTGGAAACTTTTGAATGCTTTTGTATGCAGATTACATACTAGATCAGTATATCATATGAATGATATCAGATATCAGGATCGAGTGGCTGATCTACTTATGCGCTGCGTCAAAATTCATGTAGAGATCATGAAGTAAGTTTGTGGGATTTTCAAAATTCAATTACAATTTGAAAGGAAACTTTGAAATGAGATAAAAATTTGAAAGTATAATGCTTATTGCGAGTGTTGGCCAAAAAAAATCTGAGCAATAAAAGTATATGCAGTATAGCAGATTTACTTTCAAGCTATGAATATACATATAAATGTTCCATTGTGCCGTTTTTCCATTTTCATTTTATATTTTTCCGTAGGTTGAAAAGGATACTGATGAAGAGAGCTACCTATTTAGTTATATCGTTCACATTTTTCGGCTTAACCATCGTCGTTTTCTCTGGTTATTTCATAATGACGGTGAGTTTTGTTTTTACTTTATTTCATTCCAATAGCATATTAAAAAAATTCACAAAATATAAAATTTGATAATAATAGATCGTTCCCAAAGACCAGGCCTGGATAATTAGCGAAGCTATTGAATTTGAAACACGTCCCTCCCATCTGCCTCTATCTACAACTCGCTTTTGCAAGCCACAACTTCGTTTCCATTACTCCGCTATCGCTCCCACTACCGATCCCCTCTTATACTCTCCCATATATAGTTCAAATAAACGATATAATCCTATCTTCCAACAGCCCCCCTTCAATAATATAGTCATTCCGTTATTCAATAATGAAGAAAAGAGAAATGAAACTTTCTATGTTTTTTACCACTTTTATTTGTAACTAAATGCAGTTTCGTCATATATGGACATTTTCAAACTTATATTATAAACTTTATTGTATGTAGGTCATTATTTAATACAATAAACTTAAATACAAATACAATAAAATAAACTTTATTGTATAGGTTTGAAAATGTCCATATAGGATGAAACTGCAGTAACGTTCGTTACAAATAAAAGTGGTAAAAAACATAAAAAGTTTCATTTCTCTTTTCTTCATTATGATTTCCTACCACGTAGTAACGGCTACATCCATCAATTAATTGAATAATTAATCATCATATTCATCACGAACGAGTCTCTGTGATCAGCTGTGATGGCGTCATGGTAACAGAATTCAGAGTGGGGACGGAGTG